TTGACTGAATCTTCCGCTTCCCTACAGTCCTCCAGAGGGAACAATTGCAAACAGACACAGAGAGGAATGAAATTTTCCCAGATAAAAGGTAGAGAACTGTCAACATTTGTTCTCAGACCCACTCACATATATTGTTTATTCATGACACAATAAAGCAGAACATAAGTCTACTCAGATAATAAAAAAATGTAAATGTACAAAACAAATTAGCACGCATTTGAACATTTTCCAAACTCTGTTCTTCTGTGCTAAAGGATGTTGTCAATAATCAGAGACAGCTCTCTGCACTGCAATCACACAAGTTCATCTTTGGAGACGCTTTAGCTAGTCCTGAGACTAGACAGCAAAGAATCAAACCTGTTGAGACACCCGCCATCATGCTTCTTGCATCTCTAAGGAAGCAAATGGAGTTAAATCTCATCTGGTTGAATGCCCCACTAAAGACACATCTGAAAAATTACCATCATCATGGAGATATGTGAAGGAAAACGACAGTATCAAGTGTTTCTTTGGCAGCAACTTACTTCTAATGTTGAAATAGCCATTCAAGTTTGCCTGTTCCAAGGTTCACCATTTTCCTTCTCCCCCCTACGTAGGCTTTTAAAAAGCATATCATTAGCAGGTCTTAATTACAGGCAAATCTAGAGAAATCAAGGCAGCTACATGGATCCCTACTGAGATCATGATCAGTGCTGGAAACTTTTGAAGTCTCCAAGGAGAAAAGCAGAGTCCTGTGCAGTGCTGCAAGCCTGAGCCCAGGCAGCATCATGGAGGGGTGTGTGCCACCTGCCGCGGCTGCGGCGTGCTGGGAGCATGGCAGATGGTCCACCAGATTTGTTTGTTCCCAGTGTGCATATTGTGTGCTGCGCTCTGGCAGAGCCTGCGTCTGGGCAGCCGGGAGAGAGGTTGTCTGTTTGCCTTGTGCTGGCTCTGCTGGGGCATGCCAGAGGACGAGGGAGATGACACCTTCCGGGGGGGGCTGAGTGTTTCAGGGAAAAGCCTCTGGAGTCATGTGGTGAAAAGCAGAGGGAGGTTTCTCTGCAGGGTGAGGTGCAAACCTGCAGTGCGAGTGGAGACAGGGACTCCTGAGAGCATGGTTTCACAATCATTTTTATTAGAAAAGTAGAATAATTTTGGTTGTAAGGCACCTCTGGAGGTCATCCAATCCCACCACCTGCTCACAGCAGCACCAGCCTGGAATCTAGCTCAGGTTGCTCAGGGCCACGTCCAGCCAGGTTTTGGATGCCTCCAAGGACAGCAATTTCACAGCCTCATGGGGTGACCTGCCCTTGTGTTTCACCTTCCTGCGAACATTACTTTCTTTATATCTCATTTGCACTTACCTTGCTGCAGCTTGCGTCCCCTGCCATGCACACTGCCACTGTGCACCTCTGGCTCCATCTTGTCTCTAATGTAGCCCATTACGTAGGGGAGGACAGCAGGTACAGCCTCCCCCTTCGCCTTCTTTTCTCCAGGCTGAACAAACCCAGGTCTCCCAGCCTCTTCCCGGTTGTCCTCGGCTCCAGCCTCCTGACCATCCTGGGGAGATGGGAGGGACGCAGGAAGATGCAACACCTCTGGCAGCAGCATCCTTCACTTTGGTCAGGTTAAAGCAATTGTGAAACCACAGCCTGAGATGAGGAGGAAGCGGACTCAAAGCCAAATTTCTGAAGTGATGGAAAGTAACAGTCTCCTTGGGACCTGGAGGGTCTTTACTGCATTGCAGAAAGAAAGTGATGCTAGAGTGAAAGCAAGGGTAGGGACTCACTGCGGTGGCTCAAGGGACAGTGCTACATGTGTGTTCCCTTAGCAGGGCTGGAATTAACATCTAAGCGAGACACTCCCCCTTGGAGTGAGCCTGGACCTACTGTGAGGGGCTGGCAGGGGGCAACACCAGTGTATAGCATGAAATCAAGGAAGAAGCAACTTAAAGGTGAAGATCTGTCATATCTTCACTTGGAAGGACTGGAGCAGACACTTGACACAGTTGTACCTGATCTGTATTGGCGCTGTGGGTAACTTGTTCCAGCAGGTCAGTGCTGAACTGTTTATGTAACCACGAGTGCATTTCCCCTTGAAACACAGCGAGAAACAGAGCTCCACAAATTAAACATAGCCTGGCAGCGGAGAGAAAGATACAGCCTTCACCAGCTCCATGCTGACATTTAATCTCAGCACTATCGTAGGAGGGACTCGTGTGCTCTCTGTACTCCAGAGGGCATCATCAGAACAACAACAACGCATCGTGTTTTAAAATGGCTTTCAGGGTAATTAGTTAAATATTTAGAAAAGATGAAAGTGTTTCTCTGCCAGGGAAGCAAGCATATAGTTCGTCTAATTTAAATAATTAATTGTTTTTGGACTACAGCCAGCCTGTTTCCAAGGGAATTCATGCTGGGTGACTCTTGTTAATGTTGCCAATTTACTGAAAATGAAATAGTATTATTAAGATCTTGCAATATTAATAATAATTTAAAAAACCCTGAAGTAACTTGGGGTTCAAAGTAATAAGACACCTAATGTTCCAGACCTAGAGGAACAAGTAGAAGGATTCCTAACAGCATTGTTGCTAACGAGCTGTCTTTCAAAATGTCAGAGAAGTGGCTACATAAGCCCGCTGCCTGCACGAAAACAGAGCTGCAAGTTCATATGCAACATATTCTGCTACCAAATATTGAAACAGAGTCTCTGCAAATTTCAGGATAATTTACATGATTGGATGAAACTGTTGTATACATGAGGGAAAAGGAATTGGGTATCACATTGCATATAACATTGGAGATTGATATGGATTAGGTTTTATTACATTCATTTTCCCTCTTGCACTCCCATAGAAACATCAGCAGGTAAAGAGCACTTTCAATTGCAAGACTAAACTGCTCTTAAACAAAGTCATGTTAAGTCAATTGGTTTTTTCTTCACTTTTCTCAGTAACTTTACTCATAGCTGCACTTTTTTTCTTTAATTGTGTTCTCATTTGTCTCTTGGTGCACGTATTATTCATCTTCAGTCTGCACATGTTCTAGGTAAGGCTCTGTAACTTCAGAGGCTGTTTTCATTTGTTACTTTAAAGAGAAACAGGCTGCATGTGCCCAGCTGCTATTTTACCAGCTGGTAAACAATTCAAACACATGTTCTAGCAGCCTCGATCAAAACTCATACTGAACTGCTCTGCTTACCTTTGCACGGGTGAAAGGCACCTGCAGAGGAGAAAGAGAGGAGAAGCCAGGAAAGAAAGGATTTGCAGCAGTTCCAACAGCCCTGTGTGCATGGAACCCTCGATGCTGCACCTACTGGTAGTTTCACATGTGCAAGGATACATGGTGGAAAACAGAGGAAAATAAATGCTACCATTTGCTCCTAACCCCTGAGGAATGGCCCAGAGGAAAAGCCCACCAAAACAGTTATCCCGTTATTGTAAAGTTTTTCTTTCTGAAAGACTCTTCCCTTAAAGAACACTACAAGAAAAGACATTTTCACTACAAGAAAGACATTGAGGTTCTGGAGCGCGTCCAAAGAAGGGCAACAAAGCTGGTGAAGGATCTAGAGCACAAGTCTTATGAGGAGCAGCTGAGGGAACTGGGGTTGTTTAGTCTGGAGAAAAGGAGGCTGAGGGGAGACCTCATCACTCTCTACAACTACCTGAAAGGAGGTTGTAGCGAGGTGGGTGTCGGTCTCTTCTCCCAAGTAACAAGCGATAGGACGAGAGGAAATGGCCTCAAGTTGCACCAGGGGAGGTTTAGACTGGATAGTATGAAAAATTTCTCCACAGAAAGGGTTGTCAAGCATTGGAACAGGCTGCCCAGGGGAGTGGTTGAGTCACCATCCCTGGAGGTATTCAAAAGACGTGTAGATGAGGCACTTAGGGACATTGTTTAGTGGTGGACTTGGCAGTGTTAGGTTAATGTTCGGCCTTCGATTCTATGATCCTATGATTCTATGAAGTATAGCACCTTTTCTCCTGCAGTCCCCTACTTCCCAAGGGGATGCTCCTCCTGGGTGGAAAGTGTTCAGCTGGGCACTGACCTGTAGGCTTTTTCCAGTCCCTCAGTTATACCCACATTAGCACAGCCCCTGAGGTTGTCCCTCCATGGAGGCTGCAGGAGCACAGCCTCCTGCATGGAGTTTGTCTTTAAGGGAGGATCATGTAAAACACAGGTGGCCCGACCACATGGGTCCACCTCTGTGTGAAAGCATGCTCTGGTGTACCAGCCTGACACTTTCTTGCCTGTATTTCGGCAGTGCCTGCACCTTGTGCCAGCCTACACTCGTGGAGCACAGAGCAACAGTTTGTCCTTCAATCCATTGCTGCATGAGGTACCGGGTGACACCAATACGGCTGGGGTGTGCTGGGTACCATGGGTTCCTGAGTGCCCATCTCTGCCATCATGTTGCCATCCCTATAGCAACCCTCAGCCACTGCTTTAATTTTAAGTTTACTAATGATGTCCCCAGAAATTGGCCCTTATTAATGGCAAAGTAGATAATTAAGAAATAGTGGATCATTTAAAACAAATATGCTAAATAAAAGCTATTAAAAGTCTGGTGTAGAGGAAGCAAAATATCTCTGTGCAAAATACTAAGATGAGATCTGGCTGCAGCATGCGTCCAAGCTGTCTTTTCCTTAGGCTCTTGTCTAGTATTATATATGTGTTTAATTTTACTCATTTCAGTACTCCTACTGTATGAATTCATGCAGTTTACAGAAGTTAATGATGCATGTGAAGTATTTGCTAGAGTGAGGGGCTGGATTCCCAGCAGGATGATCTGCAGAAATGCAGGAGGACTCTTATGACTGTTGTAAGCAAAGGTAGGGTTCGGCCATGCATATACAGCAAAAATCAGGTGCCTCCCCCAAAAAATTGTCTTCACTGTTTACTCTGCACCATTCCTAAAGTAATAACACTTGTCTGCCCTGGTTAATGTTTTCTAGAGGACGCTTTGCTTTCATAATGCTATTTAACAGTATAAATAAGAGAGGGAGCCGCAGGGTAGTCCTAGTGAAGACAGCAGGATCCTTGGAAGCTGCCGTAAGTAGTGGTTTTTGCGTTTCCTAGAGAGACTTCAAAAGTGTATCCTCTTGTTGCATGCAATTGATTTTAAGTCTTTCCTAGGGTTGTATCTTATATTGAAATCTGTCTTAGCAATTGTTCCAGTGATAAAGAGGCTTTTATTGGGTCAGCTGGATATAAAGGACATAGGCATCACAATTTAGGCATGCTCAGGGGAGCTAAGATCACAGTGAGGCCAACATGTTCATGGAGCCAGAGACTGGGCAGTGGTCAGGTGCACACGGGAAAGTAGAAACTGGGAACCTGGTCTGATCTGTTCTTGGGACTGCTGCTGCTTTGCAGAGAGAAGAAAATCTCTGTCCCACCTGACTGCCCTAACCACTGCACTGGTTCTTTTTTATCTTCTTTTTTACCCTCTGGCCTCAGTGATGCTTCATCCCTGAGTATGTGCAGTAACTCAGGTTCAACAGCAAATACTGATGGTGGCCTGGTAGAAGAGTGAGAGCTCATGTTCACCTCTTTCCAGGTAAAAGGAGGCCTAGAAGTGGGTGATGCCACTCTTGGAGGGCGCGCTTCCCGGGTGAGCTCTCCAATGTTAAGCTGTCTTCCAGAAGACAGATGACACTGGGAACAGCTGTGTGAACAGTCACATACATTTCTAAAGGATGGTGTAAACTTGGCTTCCATGTTTCTGCTGCAAAAGGAATTACTTTTAATGAAGTACTCACAGTGGTTGGATTCTCTGCAGAATCCAATGCCCTTGGCTTGTGCTTGCAATCTTCTCGGGGCCTCAGGCACAGAGGCATCAAAACTCTGAATCACAAGAGAAGTAAATGTCTAGCTGATCAGTCTGGAAAAGCCCCTGAGCGTGTCCAGGCACATACAATGAGGTATGCAGAGAGCATTCAGGCCAGCCAGGAAAGCACATGTGAGTTTGTGGTGCTCCTGTGAGTAGGCGGTCCTGGACAGTAGGCTTCTGAAGTCGCTTTCTCACACACAGGTGTGACTAGTCAAGTCTTTCTTTTGTGACTTTCTTGTGTGCTTGGGTGATTTTTTTTCAATATGGCCCTGAGTAGCTGAGATTAGTTCAGCAGACACCACCGGTGATGGTGGGGCCATGTCTTGATGTGCCTGGTGCCCTCACAGTGCAGCTTTCAGGAAACATTTCTCAGATTTCCTCATTTAGAACCAATCAGGAGGGAAGCAGCACCATCTGGTGAGCAAACAGCTTTTCTATTTTGTGCCTGCATATGTTTTTGAGCACTGGAAATTTTCATTGCAATGAGATTATTGGTGAGGACCCTTCATGGGAGTAGCATGAGATGAATATTCATCTCTTGGACTATTACATGGGACTCTAAAGGCAGAAAATTGTCTTCAGAATTGTCTTTCCAAATCACAGAGATAAAAATCAGCCCTAAAGTGGACAAATTAGCTATATCCACAAAGAAGCAAGTTCTGTCAGTCAGAAAACTTAGTCCAGCTCACTTCCAGGTCTTCTGGTGGAATTATTCTGGGGTAACTTCAGCTAATTCCAGTTTTCTCCATTTGCTTTCTAGGATACTGTTCAAAATAAGTACTGCCATTCTAGGTTGCATGGTAGGGAAGATTGATAGGGAAGAGGTAATATATTCAACAAGTGTTATCACCAAATCTATTACAGATAAATTGCTTAAAGGAACACTGTCCTCCAGGTGTTGGCATGCTCTTGTGCCGTTGTCTGGTTTGATTGAAAGCTCTTCATGAAAGCAACCTTTTCTTGAATACCACAAATATATTGTCATTGCGTAACATAGCCAAAGAGAAGAAAAGAGGCAGAGAGGTAAACGGGTTTCCTTCCAGGCTATTCAACAACTCAGTGTAGATTTGGAATTAAAATTGAAGAGCTTTTCACTTCTACTCCCATGTTTATGGACAAACTGTTTTTCTGGAGATTATATGAGTAAAGTCTTAAGATAGGAAGCTTCCTGCAAAATTAGTCCCTTCAGACAGGGGGCTAATTCCCTAAAGGCTTTTTAGCACAGGTTCTCAGCTTTTTGCTTTTTAATAAATTGTTAGCAAGTGTGCTTGGTAGGAAAAATCCCTCAGTCATTAAGACTGTATGAGAATCTGCACCTTCTGCTTCATATGAAAGAGTCCTCTGTTGTCAGTTTATCACTGGCTGATCACTTGCTAACCTAGAAGCCACAATAATATCAAATGGAATAGTAAATATCAAGTATGCTGGCTGACCCCTTCCTAACCTAGAAGCCACAATAATATCAAATGGAATAGTAAATATCAAGTATGAATTAACAATTCCCAATCATATTCTAAAGGCTTACATGATGCAAAGTCTATTATAAAAGTACCTTAACATTTCAAAGAAGGGCCTAAGAGAAGTGGCCACTTGTATCTTCAAGGCTTAAGCAACAAAAAAGACCTCTACAAACTGCAGCTTCTGAGTCTTTTATAATCTTATGATTTTAAAATCAACCATTATCAAGATTTTTGTGAGGGCTAACTCATGAGTCTTTACTGTTTGTGATTGGCCAGTACTAAGTAACAGATGGGTGATTCAGATTCAGATTGTATTTAATTATCTGTGAATTCAGAGCTGTAATAAAATGAAATTAATTCCATGAAAGTACATAAATTAACCACAAAATGCAAACATGTCGTAACTACATAAAGCAAAAATATCAGGATAGGAAAGAAACCTTCAGAAAACTGTAACCAATATTTTACAGAACCCTTACAGCAAAACCATGCTATATGCATTAGCCATAATTTTGAGACCAGGCCAGTTAAATTCCATGTCTACTTTGCATTCCAAATAAATAGAAATTGACACTTCAATGTGTATATAGAAAAGTCCATCTATCTGCTGAGTTTTGTAATAAATATTAAATGTGATGAGATAGAGAACAGGTGGTGACTTATGTTTAAAATGAAATGTTTCATTCTTTGGTATTCATGTTATTCTTAATAAATCATGACTGCAGCTGAGTAAATAGTTCACAGTGAATAATTTATCCAGAGGCAGCTTCTGAATTGGCCTGCTGGATATGTGGAAATAGATTAGGCTTAGCTCTGATGCTTTTGTTTGGGAGTTGATTTCTTTTCAAAGTCTGACTAATACATTGGCTCACTGATAGCTCTTTTTAAATATTCAGAACTGGAGCTCTTATGCTGAGTTACAAGAAGCTAGATATATTGAGAAGTATCATTTCAATGTCAAAATCAGAGGAGGAGGCCAAACTATAATTTAAAGCTACTGTGCACAGTAATTGAATATGTAGTTACCAAGAACCCTTACGGTTCTTCCATTTGTCAATAACACAGTAGGTGTTATTGCAAACAGGCCTGCTTTTTAGAAATACTTATATCAAACATGTAAATGTTTGAATATTTGATTATAGCTCAAAAATGTTTTGTCATTCTTATGCAGGTCTAACTGTAACTGGATATTCAACTACTAAGACAAATTGCTCCCTCTGATGTTATGGAGAAAGCAGGACCGTTAGCATAGCACTTTCTGACGACAGTGTCTCAAGTTGAATCATGCCAGGACAGAAAGGTGCAATCGGTTTAATATGCCTCTCCTTGTACAAGTTTTAGCAAATCTGGCTCATTATCTCCCCAAATCCTTTGCAACTCTCTCACTGTTTCTTTGCCCTAGATTCCTCCTCAGACATGAGGCCCACTGGGACATTCACATCCACATTTCCAAGGTCCCTTTGTAAGAGTTTATACAGTGCAGAGTATCAGCTCTGCAAAGGAACGTAGATACCACAGCCAAGTGTAACAGGTTAAGATAAATGTATTGCCCTTTGACCAGCAGAGCATCTGACAAAAATAAGGCCTTGTTTTAGTTAATAACATTGACTCCTGCTGTGCTGAAAATGAACCCACTCCAATGGTTTAGTTTGTCTATTAAGAGAAAACATTATTTCAGGTTCTTATTGAAAGCATTACATCATTTTTATTCAGAAAGAAAGAGCACCTATTCCTTAGAGACATAGGGCTTTATATTCAGTTTGCTACTGAAAAACAGCTGCCGCCATTTTTCCTTTCTTGACATAGGGTGCCTTATCAATCTGACCAAAAGTTTATTTAAAGATCTCCTTCATGCCTGTTTGCTCAAATTCTGTTTGTATGTAGCTATTGATTGCTGCCCACTTGCATGAATTTCCTCTTTCTTCCTTTACTCACAAAACATCCAGACTTCCTCTGTGATGCGCTTTCCAGGAATTATCTTAGACCATTAGTGTCAAAAGCCCAGTGGTATCACAGCTCTCCAGTGATTAGCCGTGGTGTGTTTTCTGATGGGATATGCTCCATTCTCTGGCCTGTTGAGGGTGCTGTGTATTCAGCTAATCAATGTTGAATTTTGTCATTGCAGGTATTTAGGGTGAGGGTGGCAGAAAGTGTTGGCGGAGGCTTGCCAGGAGGCCTGGGAAAATAAAAACAATCTGGCAAGAGTTGGAGAACATGGAAACTGAGGACAAAAGAAAGACATAAGATTTCTTATTCAGTGGGAGTGACAGAATAACTATTTCTACTTAATTAATTTACTTACTTTAGTAATAGCTTCTCCTTTTTTCCATAGGATTGTAATACAAGAAGATGAAGACCACATTCTACATAAGTTTGCTACTGGCTGGGCTTCATGCTGTTGCCCATGGTCAACTCCCACCCAACCACCACAATGGACATGATCCAAATGAACCTAAATACCACATGCATCACAGAGGTGAAGCAATCGCTTGCCTCAAACTAGTGCCAAACAATGCTGACTTTGCATTTCAATTTTTTAAAGAGGTTACACTGGAGGCACCTAATAAGAACATTTTCTTCTCTCCTGTAAGCATCTCCACTGCATTTGCGATGCTGGCCCTAGGGGCTAGATCAACCACTCAGACTCAAATCCTGGAAGGACTCACCTTCAACCTTACAGAGATTCAGGAGAAAGAGATACATGAAGGCTTCCACAACCTTGTCCACATGCTGAGCCATCCTGAGAGCGGGGTCCAGCTCAACATGGGGAATGCCATCTTTCTAACAGAGAAGCTGAAACCTCTAAAAAAGTTTTTAGATGATGCCAAAGCTCTATATCAGCTGGAGGCTTTTACTACTGACTTTAACAATCCCACAAAGGCTGAGAAGCAGATCAATGATTATATAGAGAGGAAAACACATGGGAAAATTACTAATTTGGTCAAGGACATGAATCCACAGACTGTAATGCTTCTGGCTAGCTTTGTTTTCTTTAAAGGTAGGTCCTCTAGGATTCACATTCACGTTATTCATTCCTATCAACTGATCTAATGTCAGCTACCTCATCTGGAAATTGCTCGGGGGGGAATGTCAAATGCTCTTTGCTGGGCCAGAAGAGCCCCTAATGGCATACTGGAGGTATGGTGGAGAGGTGGCAGGATCCTGCTTGGCACGGGGAGGCAGCTGGGGACCACACAGGCTTGGTTCTGTCTGTGGCAGCCACAGGAGCTCTGCTCCAAGCCGCAGTCTCCCATGCAGCCTGAGTTCACTTTTGTGGTTTTACCTGTAACTCCAATTGCCCCACGTTCTTCTAATTTTCATTGAAGGCGCTGAGAAGCATGCATGACCTAACCCTTTTAATGCCTCTCTTTTAAAGTATTTATGATTCAATAGCCTAATTTACTACATACTCCATTTTTTTTCCTATCAGAATCCTTTATGTATACACACTAACACATTTATATATGAAGAAGCTAGTGATGAACAGGGGAGGACATTTTAAGGAACAAAGTGGAAACATGGTACATTTCTGATGGGGGTTAGATGATGTGCTCTTAAGCCTGACACAACAGCACTCAGATATGAGATCCTACATTAATTTTATCTACAAATTCAGGCTTATGATTAAAGTAAATAGAAATGAAATGCATACAGTATATGAGCACACAGATGATGTCAGATAAGCCCTTAAATGGCAACTTACAGAAAGGCCACTTAGATCACCTGAACAGAAAAGTAATGGTAGGTACAAAGAAAATGTCTAACTAGTTCATTACTGGCGTCTGAAAAATAAAGTGAAATTGGAATCTAATGCACTCTTTTGACCACGTAAAAGATTCTTGCCTTACTGTGATACACATTTTAAAATATTATGTTTGAACATTCTGAATTTAACAAATGGAGGAATGGGTGAATATTATTACTAGTTATATAAAATTCAATTTATGATGGGATGGGACATGGGATATTCAGTTGCATTCTCCTTCTCTGTATCAGGCAACTGGGAAAAGCCTTTTAAACCAGAGCATACCGAAGAAAGGGAGTTCTTTGTGGATGCTGAAACTACTGTGAAAGTCCCCATGATGCACCAGACAGGCAGATTCGACTTCTATTTTGATGAGGAGCTGTCATGCACCGTGGTACGGCTTCATTATAATGGGAGTGCTACTGCATTTCTGGTTCTGCCAGCAAAAGGGAAAATGAAGCAGTTAGAGCAAACCCTGGTCAAGGAAACCATCCAGGAATGGTCAGACCATCTCTTCCAGAGGTAATCTTCTGCCAGTCAGCTGCAGTGACACCTAGATTTATAGTCTTTTTTTTTTGGGGGGGGGGGAATGCAAACACTATGAACTTGCTGATTCTGGGAACTGAGTGGGTTATTTTTCACTTGTGTGCCCTAGCTGTAAAAATCTTGCAGCTGGTTGGTATTTAACTATTCTCTTGATGCCTGAGTGACTCGCTGCTCCCCCCACCAGAGCGGAGACCATCCTGATGGGCTCCCAGGAGTCCCAAATAACAAGCCTAGATTGGCATTTCTAAAACAATCCATTGACTGAGTGGGAAGGTGGCAATTCTAAGGCAAATCTCCTATACTGAGGTTTCAGCTAATGTGTTTTACCTCTCATATGTCACTGACACACTGTGACTCAGACATGTGTCTAAACCTTAAATAAACCATAACTTAAAGTTTGTAGTAATGCATACATACATAATATGTCCTACACAAATAGCTTCCTTACAAGAACCATTGCAACACACAGTGGTTGTTAGAACAGGCTAGTGATTAATTGTGGGTGTCCTGACTTTCTGGCATTTTGTTTTTGAAACTATAAAAATCTAATGAGGTTCTGTTAGCTCCTACCATTGACACTAACATCAGCTAACACGTTTTACAACCTTGTTTGTCTGGGAGGGAAGCAATCTTAGCACCGGTAGATGAGTAATATCAAGTTAATACGTGCCTAATTTACCAAGCTCTGCCCTGATTCACAACTAATAAGGCTGTGCAGTTCACACCCATGATTCTTGGTGCATCATTATAGAAATGCCAGCACAGTTAATAAAAACATAATGGATAGCAAATTGGATATGAGCTAATAACATGATATCTCAAATATGAAAAATAAAAATGTATAATTCTCAGCTGCAAAATGAGGAAAATCCTTATCTAAATGAATTCTTGGCGCAAGTTCCTTCAAGATCAACATAGGAATAAGTTCTTAATGGGAGAGGCTGTGAAAACCAAATGGCAATTTCAGTTCTACTATTATGTTGATGCCAGTGCTAATAGACTTGGTCCCATCATCTTCTAGTGCACTGGGCAGTATTACATAAAGACTACAGCAGTGGGGTTTGGATCCCGTCCATTTTGCTGTTCAACCCAAGTTATCTCTTGGTGAGACAGCATAGACTTGAGCTACCTAAAGGGTAATCACTGCAGTAGGTGACTTGGAGGCTCCGAGGATCCCTAGACAATGCATGAAGAGAAATCCAACTGAACGCATACTAAGCAGGAGCTGCCTACAGATAGCTCACAGTCAAAGGCAAACTCAATCGTGGCCAGCCCACGGGATGAAGACGATTAGAGGATAGGGTGTCCAAAGGTGCAGGCAGCCAGGCACAGACCTTCCCTGGAGCCATGCCAAATGCCACAGCTATGCCAAAAACACTGCTTTGCTTTGAAGTGCTGGGGTTTGCCACACTTCTCCCCCAGCAGACTCTGTCTGTGCCCCACTTCAGGTCTCTACCTGCTTGAGCAACATGGGCTGTCACCTCCGTACCTCATATTCTCTGGCTGTAAAGAGGGGCTCTCGTTACTGTCCTCCTTTGCAGAGTGTTCTCAGATTTGCTGAAGCAAAACACCAGATATATATTACTGGTTTTTATTATTATTATTATTGTTATTATTATTACGAATGATAGTGCCTGTGTCACCATGAGAACCACCAACAATTGAATTAGTGCTCGTTGTACACTCAGGGGTGGTCCAGCCCCTTGGGGTTTGACACTCATGGGAATTACACAGCTTTCCCACCATCATTTACCTTGGTGAAAGATCCTTCTCACCATCTTCTGTGTTTCTCTTTTACCTAACAGCCTGATGAGCCTCTACTTCCCCAAATTTTCTATTTCCGGGAGCTATGAAATAACGAACACTCTTAGCAAGATGGGAATTGTGGATGTGTTCACTGACCAGGCAGATCTCTCTGGCATCACTGGCACCCCAGAGCTGAAGGTTTCTAAAGTAAGTCTGTGGCTGTCAGCCCTTTCCTTTCTTTCACGAACATGCAGGAAAACCACTCTGTGGTAGCATCCAGAAACACCAGCTAAATACAGCTCACAGCTTCCCAGCTTGCCTGCAGCTGGGCTCACCCTGGCCTCAGCCTGCAAACTTACAAGAGGAGTTTACAGTGGAGATCAGATTAGTTTGCTGCACATCTGTTTTTTCCAAGACTGGTATCGTCCGAGAGCTCTTGGGGGGTATCTGGAACATGAGAGGAACATCAACCCCTGGCTCCTTGAGGGGAGCCACTAATGTGGCAGGCACACCACAGCCTGTCCTCCCACCCTGGAGACTCAGTTGCAGAGGTGCAGACAAGCTCTTACAAGTGGAGCCTCCATCCTTCATCCGATCTTTGGGACAGAGGGAAAATAGTCTGGGACTTTTTTTTTGAGGAGATTTCTGTAGCTCTGTCCTGATCCTCGTTTAAAACAGCCACATCTACAACAACATAGCTCACATCTCTGCTGCTCCTACTCACTTCTCAGTGGATCCTCCAAAGCAGGGCTGCTTTAAAAAGGATCTGATTCATCTCTCAGGTGGCTGTTGTCTGCCCAGAATGACTGTTTGTTTTCTTTCTTCCTAGGTTGTTCATAAGGCTGCTCTGGATGTTGATGAGAGAGGTACTGAGGCAGCAGCAGCAACTGCTGCTGAAATGATGACAGAGTCTCTTCCTCCAACCATTGAATTCAACCATCCCTTCCTCATGCTGATTTTTGATAGAGATACAAACAGTACACTCTTCATAGGAAAAATAGTTAACCCAACTATTACTAGCTGAAGTGACATATGGATTCTGCTTGCTATTACTGATTAAAGAAGACGTGAAACTGCATGACATGATTTATTTCCATTTGTACCAGCTTAGTATATGGTTCCTTTTTAGCAAGAGTTGTCATTCTATGCCATTATCAAAAACTATTGGTATTGACCATGACACTTCCTTAAGAGGAAGCAAGGAAAATGTTTTAAATTCAGCTAGCAAAGAATGCCTTTTTTACTTGACTGAAAGCCAAGGAAAGACCTAAGATTTGCCAGCATTCAGAGAGAGACATTTGTGTTACAATGGAAGACTCCTGCTTAATAGGTGGTTGTCAGCCAGAATAGCAGATAAAATGATTAACACTCTTGCAAACAAAGCAAAAGTGATTGTAATTTACCATAAGTAAGTAAACAAGAGATAGGAAGAGTTGGATCAACAATGCAGGGTCACGGGAGACTGAAGTTTCTAATGGAGACAGAATGTGAAAAGCTGTCTTCAACAGAGAAAAAAATCTCCTTTCTCCACCAGAAACCTTTTATCATTTTTAGCATTAATCTAGCAGCAAATCTTCCTGAGTTTCTTGCAGCTCAAAACAGAGCAGGAAGATCAAATCTGCTCTTGAACCTGAAGACTTTCAACCACGTATTGCCAATTCGACAGACTTAGCCCGTGCACGTAGCTGACTTCTCACACATGTATCCATCAGTGGTCAGAAGGAGGATGTAGCTGGATGGGCAGGTGAGGTGTTTGGATGGCAATTACACAAGCATACTGTTAGCTGAGACTTGTGGAAAACATATAATGAGGGTCTAGAAAATTGTAGATATTTCAAGTGCCGTCCTTTTACAGCCAACAAAGTAGGTAGGGAGCACCCAATAAGTAGATCGTCTGACCCAGGGGATGGTAGCAGGCACCCAGGTAGGACATAGGGCAGCTTGAGGGCTGGCTGGTAACCGCTTTCAACAGACCTGCCTTGGCAACAGGTACCAGAAAGAGTACAGTTGCCCCTTTCTTCCCTACAGTTGTGTTTTTTGGAATGGTGTCATGGCATCAGGAATCATGTCGGGAGCAGTCAAATAGCTTGGGAAGCTAACACAGCCTCAGCAAGGTCTTGTGTGCCCCCTGTGAAATTAAGAGCAAGTGTGATTTTACCAGTCTGGTGCAAAGCACTGTCTCTCCTTTCACAGTCAAAAGGAAAGTCTCCTTTCTGCTCTGTGTTCCTAGTAAAAAGCTCCTGTTAACTCCCATACATGGTGCTTCACGGTGTTTTTTGACTAAACAGACACAGTCTCTGTATAGACAAGTGTATGGACAACTCACAAGCATCGATGGCAGGACTCCCAGTGAAAAAGATGCATGTGCGCTACATCATCTTCCTGGCTCCTTCCTGCATTCACCTCCATCTGTTTGGGTAGCTTTGTGGCCTGACGTCCACACAGCAATAATTCATAAGACACCCTATCTGATGGTACAAGTTTCTTGTCTTCCTGAAATATGACTGCACAGTGCAGCATTGATAGGGTCACTCTTAGCCGTTATCACTCCTACTGTTAACTGCTGTTAACAAACGGGCATCCAGCAAAGCAGCAGTAAAACCTTTAGGGATGAGAGAGCTCAAAGAGGTGAGATCCTTAGCTATATATTGACTTCCCTAGAGTCACACCAATTTGCACCAGTTGAAAAACTGATACGATTGATTTTAGTAGAGTGATCCTCAGTTTACATCAAGAAATGTGGAAGAAACAGAGGTCCCAGATGCAGTTACCTGTGGCAGCTGCAAGACTAAATATTGCTCGCTCCCTTGTAAACCATTTTGGAGTGGATGGAGACATATACATAGAAATACAGCATACTGGGAGGAAGGTTGTCCCCATGTGGTTCTGGGAGAGATCTGAAGATCAAGAGAATCCCTCACATCAACTACATCAGCTTTTGCAGGCTGTTAATCCATAGTTTGGGAAGAAGACTCCTTTCTTTCCTATCCTCAGTATCTTAGTGGTCTCACAGACACGTGCCCCATTCAGAAGCAGGATGTGGGAATTCTGTTTTCCTCCCATATTCCAGGAAAACGAGCCTACAAGGCTGTAGGAGGGAGGAGCAGAGGCAAATGTGCTACCGCACAGAACTGGCGCTCCGCAGCTTGTGCTTCCCCTCTCGCTGCATCTCCTGTATGATCTCTCTGTGTTTGTAAAACATGTTGGGGAGGTTGCAGGGACAGCAGGCGAGGTGGTACCTGCGTGCGAGCCATGGGAAGACAGAGCGGTGGCGACAATGGGTGTCTGCCATTCCCACAGGGGATTTCCTGCCAGTGCGAAGATCGGCGTCCGGGAGCTGTCTGCCAGACTTGCTTCATCAGGCAATAGCTCCTGGTGTATTGACATCGTGCTGTGATTTTCCACTGCAAGATTTGCCAGAGACAGTGTTGAAGAAGAGGCAGGCACCACACTTAGCACAAAAGAGCAGCAGACAGCTCGCTCCCTGCCTACGTCCGTGCTGCGCTGTGCCATTTGTTATGTGGCCTGTTCCCATCTCTCCCCCCATCCACCAAGTCCTACTCTCCTAATCCTGCTCTCGTCGCCACAAGCAACAACAAACAGATTTTCCCTATTACGCTCGCTCTTCGCGTTTCCTCTCTGCATCAGCTCTTTTTCACAGCCTCCCACTTTCCCTCCTGCAGACTAACATTTTATCCCTCCCACCCGCCGATGCCATTTGTTCATGTGGGAGGTTGACGCTGCCGGCTCGGCTGTAGCGCCTACTCCACCAGCAGGTCCTGCTCTCCTCCTTCCCAAGAAATGGAGGGCGGGAGGCAACGGAGGTCCTTGCCTCCTGCAGACCACCCCAAGGGCACTCACGGCAGAGCAGGGAAGGCTGGGCAGAAAGGCAGGGCATCAGGCCACTGAGCTATTCCTATTCAGTGCTATGGGCAATGTGTAGATATAAACGAGCCAGAGGTGCGTCTCGGGAGCAATTAACCAGCAGGTTCATTAGCCGTTGACACAGCGGAGACAGCTAATGAGCATGGGGACGGGACTCACAGATGCACCTGTGGTGATCTCAGGTTTGGGCAACCTGGTTTTCCCCTGGCCAGCCGAAAGCCCCGTTTCATTTACTGCACCAGGGCTATGCCGTCAGCTGTAGCCCGACAGCCTCCAAGTGCTCCAAGTACCATGTCCCAAGACTGCAACAGCCACCCCGGCTCACACACTGTTTCTGGAAGGAGGCATTTGGGGTACATTTTGCTCTTTTCTCATGATCGTCCAAGGCTGTACCTGGAGGAAGGGAACTGAAATTCCCCTCACTTCCCACCCCAAGTCCTTCAGTCCCTCTACAAAGAGGAGTCAAGGGAGAAACTCTATTTACATTTCAGGCAGGTGTAATCTGGTAGCTCTTGTTCAGCATGAAGAAAGACATGGGTCAGCATAGTCTTTAGCCTTGCAAATACAGCAGTGTTGTTGCTTGTAACACAGCTCCCTGCTTTGTGTTAAACTAACAGCGCAGGCCTCGGGTCTCTTGCACTTGTCAGGCTTTGCTTGGACTTGTCCTGGCCTGCCTGGGGTTTTGTTTTAGCTTCTTTGTTTGTAACAGTAATTACCCAGCAATCAGGTGCTATTACCTAATTTGTTTAAATTTTTCCTTAGCTTTATATGATTGTATGGTATAACATTTACATATTGTTACAAATATAGATATTTCTATAACTAGGAGATATTAAGAATAAGTAGTTATTCTGCATAGAGTGAAGTGTCTATGGCCCTAGAATGAAAAATGAAGGAGTACAGGCATGGCAGGGTGATAGCTGGGAACTTGAGAGTACAGGCACAGGATGATACTGGAGGCCTCAGGGCTATAAACTGCTCACCAGTGCTCAGTTACTGGTCATCAAAGGATTGCAGCCTTGGGAGCTGGGTAAAACCAGTTTGGGGGATAACTAGGGGAACAGAGATTAAGTACCCAGTGTATGTAAAACACAGCACAGGTAGTAAACTCAGGTGTAAAGTGGACCTGTGAACCAATGAAGGAAGAGCAAAGGGTAGAGCATGCGAGCAAACATGTCAAAATGACCCCAAGCAGACCCCAGAGCACAGAGGTTGCACCCACCACCCTCGTACTCCTCCCAGCAAAGATGCAGGATGTGGCCATCCTGCCATTCCCTTCCCTTAGGGCTGAAGCCATTGACCTGAGGAACCAGTGGGGCAGAGAAAGGGTGAGCGTAACACCAGAGAATGGGGAAGATACTAAAAAGTTTGTGTAAATTAATTTTAACGATACATAATCTGAACTGTAAGTCTTAGTATTGTAACCAGACTAATAATTCTTGGGTAAGACTGTTATAATTTTAAATGCACTACTGATAAATTCTCATCTTTGCATACAAGGCATGGGGTTTTTTTCACCATAACAGGATTTTGAGTATAAGAAATTGGTGGGAATTCAAGCCACCTACTCTGTTACTTGGATGCAAAAAAATTGGTAATATCAGCAAGTGAGTCCCCTGCACACCTGGGTAGAGCCAGAGGACAGAACAGCCCTATTGTTTTCTTGCTTCCTATATGCAATATGAAAATACCCCATATAGCGCAAGGTAACCTCTGAGATGAGTGGATCTGGAGGAGGAGCATGGCCAGAGCCCTGGCCTTTTGAGAAGAGACAGTGCTGCCAGAAAACATAGCGCTCCCCTGGCAGAGACTCAAGGTGGGGGCTGTTGCAGGCCACAGATGTGAACAAGCATGACTAATATCTCACTTGCTCTCTGTCATTGTAATTACTGCAGGTTGTCCAAGATACCAAGCAAGACCCCAGGGCTAGGGAAAAAGGGAGCTTTCAACACAGAGGCACCAGCACCCGCTACCCCATGACTGTCTACAGCTTCTCTTCCCTCTGCCAAGCGACACCTGAAGGGCTGACATACCACATGCAGTGATGTATCAATGACAACAGACCTGTCCAACTCGTCTCTTTGGCAAAAGGGGAACACAGAAGGTGAGCAGCCCCAGGGTGCACCGAGGCTGCAGCACCAAAATCCCCACCACTCTGGGGCTAACAGGCTCCCCTCCACGCTCTTGAGGTGGTCAGAGGAGACCTGTTCCATGGACAGTATTTCGAACTGCCTTGTTAGTCTGGAAACTGAGGAAGGCAGTACAACAGGCATCAGTACAACTCCTTTTTCCTTGCCTCCTTATCTTATCTGATATACTGATACTCTGTTATTCAGTCACTAGATATTTAGCAACTTGACCAAAATTGTTTTTTTTTTT